GGTATCAGGTTTTAGGGTTTAAGGTTTATTTCGTCCCTACATGATCCCTATGTAATCCTTATAGCCTTATATAACCTCTATATAATCCCTATGTAACAAACTCCCATATTCCCCTACCAAGAGCGAGTAAGGAACACCACCCTTCAATCCCTCAAGCTGCGTCAGTGCCGACTGGGAGCCGAGGGAGCGAAGGCCAGAAGCTTTCGGGGAAGAGACCACTTGGGTGGTTGTCCAAAAATTATGGTCCCTGTTTGGGGCACCCTAAATATTAGGTGCCGTATTATAATAGGGATCCAAAAAGGGACCATAGTTTTGACAACCACCCACTTGTCCTTTTTGTTGCTGCCTTGATGTTGGGTGGCAGCAGCTGCAGAGCTTACTACCAAAACGGTATGGAATATGCCACCAGAATCATCCGCCACAAAGTGGCCTGTAAAAACACAACTTGCCAGCCGAAAGCCCCAAAGCCACAAGCGAAGAATTCCCAAAAGGTATGCTGAATGCACTAATTGTTGTCGAATCATGCCGGACCCAGTTTCTGGGATGGTAACCAAGCATGGGGAGGGTTGATGGGAATGCGTTTTTAGAAAGGTCCTGCTACAGCAAAACCGGCTGGGATTCAAAGGAACATTTGTTGAGTCCGCCGCACAACATACCGAGCAAAGCCGGGAGACAAGGTTCACTTGTGCTCCAGGTATGCAAAAACAAACCTGCGGAGACAGGCAGCCAGCATGAAAGCAGGATGTTGAGCTTGCGTCCAAGTTCAGGGAATGGACGATATTCAGTATCCCTCTTCAGCCAACCTAACTAAATGTGGGAAATTGCGAAAGCTCCTCGTGAGACGGAGCTTCGTCCGCATACCCCGAACTATCTGAGGCTGGGTATGTATGTATGTATGTCTGTCTGTCTGTATGTATGTATGTATGTATACATGCGCAACAAGGGTTTAGGTTTTACAGTTTCGGGTTTAGGGCTTAATGTAGACCCCTGGTTATTAGACCCCTTCCCCTTGATAGGGATTATAATAGCGATCCTACTATTGAGACCCTTAAAAGGAGGGGGTTTATGAATCATGGGTCTACATTAGGGTTCAGAGCTTAGGAGGCCAGCAACTACTACAACTACTTCTTGTTGATTGACAGCCTGCAAGCTGGCTATGTACCCTGTGTGCTGGTTGAGAAAGAGCTCAGCAATTCCGAATATTAGGGGGTTTAGATTTTAGGGTTTAGGGTTAGGGGGGGGGGTCCCTAGAATAAGGTTGATAGTATATTAGGGTCTATATTGGGGTCCCCTTATTTAGGGAAATTACTGGTGAAGATTTACAAGCCCCAAGCCGCTGGTAACATGCTCATTGTCCACCTTGCTGGATCCGGCAAAGAAGCGTTTGGCAACTTCTGGCGTTCCCCTTTCCGGAAGTATGGTTTAGGGTTTATGGTTCAGGGTGAATAGAAAAACCTATCCCTCTCTAATTTGCTGGCTGTGGATGCCCTTCTAATTGGCCGGATCATAGAGACATGTTATGCGAATTATTTAGGGAGGGGGATATGAAGGTTATATAGGGGACTACTATGCGGGTTCTTAAGGGGAAAGTCAATAGTAGTATGGATGATAATCGTAGTAATATGCTTAACATTCCTGGCATTAGTAATATTGATACTATTTGTAGTATGGCTAACATAATGGTGATAGTAGTGGTAATGTCATTAGAAACAAATTCTAAGCCCTAGACCCTAAGCCCTAAGCCCTAAGCCCTAAGCCCTAAGCCCTAAACCCTAAACCCTAAACCCTAAACCCTAGAATAACCTTACAGGTCCTGGCAAATGCCTTGAAGTCGAACCGATGCCTCCTGAAGCTCGACATCGGTGGCAACTGCCTGGGAGCCGAAGGAGGGAAGGCTTGCCGGGTGTTTGATATGGGCTATAGCTAGAAGGGGTTATATGAGTAAACTCCTTAGGGTTTAGGGTTTAGGATTTAGGGTTTAGGGTTTAGGGCATAGTCTAAACTCCTTAAAAGAGGGTTATACAGGGGAATATATAGGGGACTACTATAGGGGATATTAAGGGGGATAGGGCTATAGCTAGAAGGGGTTATATACGGGATTATATAGGGGACTACTATAGGGGTTATTAAGGTGGATTTTAGGAGTGGGGGCTTTCCTAAAATTAGGTGATATGGGGCTTTCCCAAAGTTGGAGGGACCCTTCAAAGGGGGATATAGGGGGTATACAGGGGTCATAGAATAGAGGGCTATATAGGGTTTAGGGATTAGTGTTTAGGGTTTTCCTAACATTAGGGGGTACATTTCTGGGGGGCACCCATAATGGGGACTATAGTATTTTTTTTTTAATGGCCTAAACTCCTTCAAAGGGGTTATATACGGGATTATATAGGGCACGGCTATAGGGGTTATTAAGGTGGATATTAGGAGTTTAGAATGACATGGGGCTTTCCTAAAATCATGGGGTACCTTTCCGGGAGGCCCCCATAATAGGGACGAAAGTATTTTTGGGTTTATCTTGGGGTACCCCTACCCTAAACCCTAAACCCTTAAAACCCTATTTGGGGAAACTGCCATAGGAGCTGTGCCCTGCTGTCAGCTATGTGTCTATCCCCGCTTTATCGATGATGTTCGATTCTGATGGCTTCCCAGACTTCCTAAAGGATCCAAAAAATGGAACCCCCCAACAATCCCCTAGTTTCCCCAATGTAGTAATGGGTTCATATTGGGGGGGTTCCATTTTTGGGGTCCTTTAGGGGGTCTGGGTTTGTGTTCGTGTCTTTGGCAATGCCAAATCTACCCTACTTAACAAACATGTCTGATGGCTTTGACCCCCCAATTTTCCGCCAAATCTATCCTACTTCACAAAGAATTCTGATGGCTTTGGCCCCCAATTTTCCGTGCGTTGTGTCCTTCGGGAAGTGCTGCAGGCCTTTGCCACGGCCATGGATGAGAATCGGACCCTCCAAGTGCTACACATGGGTGGCAGCGGTCTTGGAGATGATGGAGTGGAGGCCCAATGACTTACTGGGGGTGCGTACCTAGACGTCCAATGTAGTTCCTTGTTGGGTTTGGTATTGTTTTTTGGTTAGGATTCTTAAAAGACTACCAGAAAGTTACTACATTGGAGCGTCTAGGTAGGGAGCAAAGGAATACATTTTAGGGGGATCCTATAGGGATTCTATTCCTTATTCCTTACTTACCACCCGGTAAGATGAGCCTCTGGGAGTGGTTTGAGCAATTGCTGTAGATCCAGAACTTGTGACTAAGGGCCCATACGCTACCTGCAAGCGTGCCAGAAGGCACAGCTACTCTGATTTTTCTACACCAGAACTGTGCACCACCAATCATGACTCTAGGCACATGCCTGTGCCTTGGTGGCGACCAATTCTTTGAGCCAAATTTTTGCTACGGTAAACCCTATACTATATAGGCCTATATACTCCCCTATATAACCCATTATAGTAGTTTCCATTTTCTTTTCCATTATCCCTATATAACCCCTACATTACCCGTATATCGCCCCTATAAAATCCCCGTAGCCCCTATAGTTTCCATTTTCTTTTCCATCATCCCCGTACCTTGGCGAGCTGCACAGGCCCTGGGAAATGCGCTGAAGTCGAACCTGTACGGTCCTTAGGAACTTTTGAATTTTTATGATAGTATAGCCCTGAGGAAATAGTTTTGATAGTATACCCCAAAAGGAAATAATTGTTATGAATATTAAGAACATTACCTTTATTATAGGTCTGAGGAGACTACAGGAACAACAGCCTTCTCGAGCTTTTCCTCGGCAACAATGGTATTGGCGCTGAGGGACAGCAGGCTTGCCGGGTAATTGAGACCCCTGATTAATAAGCTGTAACAGGGGTAATCTAGGGGCAGGATAGTAATATAGGGGGAGCACAGGGATTATATAGGGATACTGGAAAAGGACATGGAAACCATTATCTACGGTTGTTAATAAACCCCCTCCGTTTAAGGGCCTTACTATTAGGATCCCGATTCTAGTCCTTATTAAGGGGAGGGGGGTTATTAATCAGGGGTCTGGGTTATGTGACATATGCTTCACTGTGCTGCCAGCTAGCTGTCTATCACGCTTTGACTTCTGCTTTGGGGACGATGTTTCACTCATTTTGAAAGCTGTGTACTGTCACTACTAGTGTATATCACTACTAGTATTGTTATTGTTGTCATCATTAATAATGTCATTTTAGTGTTATGATTATTGTCATTATTCGTATTAGTATTCGTATTACTATTAGTATGAATATTGTTGTCAGTATTTGTAGTATTATTGCTCTTACGCCTGACAATAGAGACGAATGTGCCTCTGCATCTCAAGCTTTTTGTATGGAGGGTTTGCTGCCCCTTCTTACGCAGGGTCTTAGTTTTATTCAGTGGGGCTCCGCGCACTCCTGGTTTGGTTTGGCCTGCCCTGCTCACTGCCAGAATAGTGTGTTGGTTCTCACTTTTGTTTTCTGTTCAGGTTTAGGGTCTGGTTTCGTGCTCTGCCTTTGGACCTTTCGCTTTTACATTCTTAGGCCCCTAGGTCCTGAAACCCCCTGCCCTCCTGAACCCGTGTCGGGCCGGCCGGCCCCGCATCACTTTCGTCTCAGGGCTTACGCCCTGAATGAGCCGAGACCTCAATCAGGCCATCACTGAGGTTCAGGCTGCTCTCGAAAGGCTGCGCATTGCTACAGGTTCTGCCTGTGCTGCCGCTTCTGATTGGGAGGTGGTGTCCGAGCCAGGGCCAGAGGAAGAAAGGGATCATAGGGTTCCTAGACCTTCCCTTAGGGCCGCCCTCTCCGACCCGGAGCCCGTGTCCTCGCGCCACGCTGGCGCTGCCGCATCCTCCTCTGCCGCTGTTCCTCAGACAAGGGCCGAGATTGCATCTGCTTTCCCTGAGTGCCCTCAGTTTTGCCTGGACTTGTGCCGCACCCTTTCTTCGCCTGCATTGCCTGCCGAAGGCCGAGCCAAGAGAGCTTGGACCTGTGGCTGCTGGTTCAAGGCGGTCTTGGAGGGCCGCGTTGCCACTCCGTCTCCTGCTCCTGTGCTGGCTCTGCGGCCTACTGTGTACATTGTGTTGCGGGCTGCTTCTGTCTCCAGCCCCTGCCGCTTCTCCACCTTCTCCAGCTTCAAGCGCGTGGTCGGCAGCCTGGAGGGCACCGACACCCTGTGCCAGAGCTTCCCATCAGCCGCTGAGGCCAGAGTCTTCTGTTACGCTGCCGGCGTTCCTTTCGACAGCCTGCAGCAGCGATGAGGATGGACGAGCTCGGGATATCAGAGGGGAGCTTGGGCTCCCCTTGTGTTCTGAAGTGGCCCCCCGGGCCGAGCGTGCTGGAGTCCCGAAGATTCCTTTGTACGCCTGTCTTTTTGAGGGCTGGAGGCCTCCTCCTGGCCTTGCCTCCAGATTTTGCAGACATCCTGGAGGCGAATTCTGCAGACCCTTCGCCTTCTCTTCTGCCTGGCCCCTTTCAACTGGCCGCCGTTCCCGCTACAGAAGAGGACGACGCAGGGGAGGAGTCCCTGGTTGGCATGGACCTTCCCATAGTTCTCGTGGACATGGACGAAGCCATCCTCCCGTCCATGAGGCTGTACGATCCGGTGACCGACATCGGATTGCTAGAAACTTTCATGGGCGAACTGCCCCACTTGTATCCAGCCTCGGAAGGCCTTTTGAGTGTGGCCCGGCAGTGGGTCAGCCAAGGGACCACCCCTTTGCCCTACTTGTCGGCGCAGGAGCAGGAAGATCCGCCTCCTTCTGGAATTGCTGCCGCGAAAAAGGCAGCGGCAAAGAAACGAGTAACCACCGCGCAGCTTGCGGATCAAGTGACGGCTCTGGCCACTGTTCTCCCGGAGCTAATGGAGCAGATGAAGCAGCTGAGTGCTCGCCAGGACCGGGTCGAAAGAGATCCCCTCCCAGTTCGGGAGTCTCCTGCCGTGCCCCCGCAGCAGCAGGCCTTCGCCATGGCCGGCGACGTGTCTGGGCCTCGGACAGCCTGGACTTGGGTCCCACCGCGTCCTCCTCTATAAATGCCCGGCAATCGAGCAAGAGGGAGAAGCTCCAGCAGGAGCTAGCCCTCCGCTTCTGTGTTCTTCCTCTCAATGCTGCAGAATGCTCACCGCAAGATGTTTCCTGCTCTGCCTGTGCCTTCCAGTGTCGAGGAAGTGAAGGATCAGGGGCGCCTCTCTCTGGTGTCGTACGTTTCGGTGGATACGCCTATGAAAAGGACCTAGGCCTGGTTCTCCTCCTCCTAGCCTATGTAGGGGACGCCTTGGCCCAGGGCGACGTGAGAGGTGCGCAAGAGCATATAGCATTGGCAATGATGAGCGTAGAGCAAGCTGCTTGCGACGGGGGAAAATGGGACCTCGCTTTCTTGCTGTCCCTGGTGCAAGAGCCGTCGCCCACGCTCTTTCAAGCCCGGCCAAGCAGCGGCCAGCAGTCCCAGTGCTTTGCTTCCAACAGGCCAGGCTCTCTGTGGTCTATCGATAGACGCTTCTCGGCAGGCCCTTGCCATATGCCTGTCGGATCGCAGAGACTTCTACCACCAGCTCGCCGTTCCGGTCGAGCGTGCCCGCACCAACAGGCTCGCACCTGCCTTTGATGTGTCCCTCTTCAATGAGGACCCTGCTTCGCAAGACCTTAACGAGAAGCCAGGGGCGATCACCTCTCCAAGCCTCTACCAAAAGGCAAGTGTGCTTCCGAAGCATACTACAAGGTGACCACCTCGGGGTGGAGATAGCCTGTTCTGCTCACGAGGGCTTCCTTCAAACTTACGACCTCCTACACCCCGAGCACCGCGTGTTGGTGAGAGTGCCTTTAGCCGACCAGACCTCCTACGATGGCCTCGTCATAGACGATTATTTCTGTGTCCAAGGTCAGCGCCAGCTTGCTGCCGACTTGGGCCCCGCCACGCCTACCGAGGCTCAACGCATGCTGACAAGGGCTCTCCTCGCGTACAAGGACCACGGTATCCTGGGTGCCCCCGAGAAGGACCAGGTCAACTTGACAAAGGCCAAGGTGGCGGGAGCCGAGATAGATACTTCTGAGCCTACCCTCCGCCAAGGTGTCGCGACGGTCTCGGCCCCGAAGCAGAAGAGGTTCGCTCTTGCAAACATCTCCTTCGAGGCTTGCCTTTTGCCTGCCACCACGGACGCCCTCTGGTGTTCACTCCTTGGGGGGTGGTCCTCGGCGGCGCCAGGCTTTTTGCTGTCTTGACGAAGCTTTCCGCCTGGCTCCCTCTGCCCTCCTTGACCCTAGTTCCCCTAAGGTTCTTAGACTCCCTCGTAAGGTTGCCCAAGAAGTAGTGCTGACAGCCTGCCTCGGCCCCATCCTGCTGTCTGACATCGCCGTTCCCTGCCTGTCCCGGCTCTTCGCCGCGGACTCTTGCGAGGCCAAGGGGGCGATTGTCTCTGCAGCTGTTTCTCTTAGCCTTGGCGCCTTGCGCCGCCCTTGCACCTGTTCTGGGAAGCACGTGCCTGTCAGAGGCAGGTTGGCCAAGGCTTCTGCAACATACACCCCGGGCCTCGTCCACGAGATGGGCAGGATTTTCTCCCTTGCCATTCGGTCCGTCCGTGCACAGGTGCAGGCTTGTGAACTTGAGGTGGCCGGCCTCGAGAGGGCCTCTGCGTCTGCTTTGGCTAGGTGGCGAACCGACGCCGTCTGGCGCTGGCCCAACCCGGTGCACATCAACATCCTCGAGTCATCCACTATCTGCCGCCTTTTCCTTCGCCTTGCTTGCCTCCATGGCCCGTGCCGCTTTGCATACCTCTGCGACTCCAACGTGGCCCAACTTGCCATTGGGAGGGGAGGTCCGGAAGCGGACTTCGCCATGTGTGCCGCCGCTCCTCTTGCATCTCCCTTGCAGTGGGCCTTTATCCAGGCAGCCTCTTCTGCCCCACTCGCCTCATGCCTGCCGACCACCCTACAAGGGACGTGCCTATACCCGAACCCGTGTCTGCTTTACCCCCTGACTTCTGGACTCCCCAGAGGATCCTGTGCGATGCTGCGAGACCTCGCCTTCGAAAGTGGGCAGCAAATTGGGTCCGCCTGGCTTTTGCTGTGAACAGTGCTTGTCGACCTTCCGCTCTGGAAGGACACTGCACGCTTCCCCAATAAGCCCTTTGAAGCCTTTGTAATAAGTAAGCCCTTTGATGCCTCACCCCGGCGAAGGTCCTGCCTGCTGCTGCTTCAGGGTCTTCAGGTTCTGAGTTGGGGTCTTTTGGGGTGTGGGTTTGTTTGCTGGGTACGCTGTCGCCATGGCCCCCTCGCGGACTGAACAGAACGCTGCAGCTAGAGCAGATAGGCGAGCCGCCGCTCCTCTTCAGTCAGGCCGACCGGTCCTGCAGATGACGAGGTCTCGGCGGGAGAAGCTCAAGGCCCTCTTCGCAGGCTGGCTGTTGGGGCAGGGCAGGTCTTTCGACGGCTTGCTACAGCTGGCTAGAACAGATGTGGAGACAGCAAACGAGATGCTGATTTTGTTTGGAAAGTGGCTATACGAATCAGGGAAGCCTTATTCTTTCTACTCCGAGACCATCAACATGTTTAGCTCTGAATGCCCGGCAATACGCCGCCTCTTACAGCCAGCCTGGGGCTTAGCCTTCAGCTGGCTTCGTGAGGAGCCCCCCGTGCATCACACGGCGATGCCCTGGCAAATTCTGGCAGCGATGCTTACTGTCTGCCTGGTCTACGGCTGGACACAAGTTGCCGGAGTGCTGGCTTTGAGTTGGGGTGGTCTCGCCAGAGTAGGAGAGGTGATGGCGGCCTACAGGCGCGACCTCGTGCTTCCTGAGGACGTTGGAGAGAACTTGACATACGCGCTCATGGCTGTCAAAGAGCCAAAGACTCGTTTCCAAACTGCTCGGCATCAGTGCATCAAAGTGGACCAGCCCCAGCTGGTTGCAATAGTGAAGCTGGCTTTTTCAAACTTTGAGCCCGACATGAAGTTGTGGTCCTGGTCTGGCTCTACCTTGCGGAGCCGTTTCAAAAAGCTGCTGGCTGCGCTGGACCTTCAATCTGGGATTCTGCCGGGCGTTCGTGACCTCGACTTGGGCTCCCTCCGCGCGGGTGGGGCAACGTGGTTGATGAGCGTTACTGAAAACCCTGATTTCGTTCGGCGCAGAGGGAGATGGATAAACAACAAGGTCATGGACATCTATGTCCAAGAGGTGTCAGCCATCCTCTTCCTGCCGAGGCTGCCACTGGCCTTGAAACGAAAGATTTTTTCGCTGGCAAATGGGTTGACTGAGGCGATCGCTTTCGCCTCGAGCTGCATGCAAATGAAGCTTGAAAGCAAAACGTGGTTTTTCTTGGCTTGTCGAGGCGCTATGCTTTAGCTGGTGGGTCTATGCTTGAAGTTTTGGGTGAAGCTTCCTGTGAAGGTGACATCGTCACTTTTTGCATGTGCACCTGATGCGCAAGATGCAAAAGAGGGCGCTTGAGTCTCTGACAATAGAGACGAATGTGCCTCTGCATCTCAAGCTTTTTGTCCCGCCCGGCCCGCCCGGCGCCCTCGCTTCCTGTGAAGGTGACATCGTCACTTTTTGCATGTGCACCTGATGCGCAAGATGCAAAAGAGGGCGCTTGAGTCTCTAGCTATTGTTTTTCTAACTGTTGTTAATCTCTAGTATTACTACTGCCATTACTAGTACTATTCGTTCTGCTATTTTCTTGTGCTGGAACAAGTTCGTAGGTGCTGGACAGACTTGAACCGGAACCCGTGTTTTTTTTGCTGTTTGGTCTTTTTTGTTGTTGGGTCGCTTAAAGACGAGCCAGGCAGACGGGTGAGTGAGTGAACTCCCGTCCCCCGCCCAAACAGCAAAAAAGAAAACACCCCCCC